TATATATATATATATATATATATATATATATATATATATATATAATGTATTTATACGACATATAACTGTATTGTCTTAATATGAGAATAAAATATATACATATACACACAGAATAATATTTACATTTAGTATGTAGTTTTAATTGAAGATTCAATCTGACTGAATTATTGCGCAAGATAGGCAATAGATTCCGCAATTGAACTTAAAGAAGTGTCACGATAATGATTCTCGTTTAATCATGCAATAATAACGACGTAATAATTGCAGGATGAGATGAATAAAAACGGATATGTAACATTTATAATTCTTCAAGATTTAATCTACTTCGAAATATCCCTCTTGCAAAGGAAATATTTAATTAAGAATAATTTTCAGAGATACTCGTAGATAAAAGAATTGTATATTTTGAGTGTATTTGAATTTTTTTATCATAGGACAATATAGCTCTTGTTTGTTAAAATGTTTATAATAATTAATTTAAAAATAAAGAGGAGATAATACATAACTTTGCATGTAAAATAAAGACAGTGAATGTATAAATTGGACATCCATTCCGAATCATTTATTATATTTAAGCTTTTTATATTTTTTGGCGACTAACACTATAAGAATATCAAAAACACTTATTTAAGTTTTAATCAATTATTTCTTATTTAGGGAGCTTTATATTTTATTAATATCATTAAATAATAATAACATTAAGATGTTAAGGTATTTTTTAAATTTAATCAAAGTTTAATATAAAGATTTTGTAATTTTAAAGTTTTTACATAATATGATAAATAACATTAGATTTCATGTAAAGAATCAATTAAAATTAAATATGACAATATTTGACGCAAGCAGCATAAACATATGTTATTTTAGTACACGTAATTCAGTATACAGAATAAAATTGACAAAGAAATAGGTAAAAATAGGTAAAAATTTTAATGTCTAGTATAAAAATTTTTATTTAGGTCAAAATAATGTATTGCAGGAGACTTAAAAAGAGCAGTAAATATTATTAAAAAAGAAAAACTTTAATCATTCTATTTTTAAATCTTCTATTTTTCTTTAATTATTTAAAACTATTTAAATTTAAATATATTATGATATATATTATAATATTGAAGTATGCTAGTATCTGATTCATTTAGACTTTGAAATTAGATATGAATTATTAATGTAATGTAATTTTGTTATATTTATATTGTAAATATATAAGCACAACTTAGATTATACTATTTTGATAAAATATAGTAACACCTCCACGATAAAACGTTTCGAAAATTGATGATTCGTATCATCTAGTATCTAACGATGGATCATTCATAACATTTTATGTAATTGAATTTATAAAAATATATACAATTATTATAAAATATTTATACAATTATTTATACTGTACTTATTAAATATTTTTGATAGCATTTTGGATAAAAATATAAATTTTTATTCTTATAACGATCCAAAACTAATGTCCTTATTCTATATATTACGAACGAAAATGAATAATCTGAGATAAATATCGTAGTAAGTAAACGGTTTTACGACTTTATTTGTATTAAGTAAGATCCGAAAATACGGATCTATTAGCTATAATTTACGTCTCAGCTGGATATTGTATACATACGTGACACGTACTGCTGGACGACGTATTAATATCGTTAATGGACATGACTCCTCTTTCATAAGAATATGACGTATCTCTCCTTCATCCACTTGTCCCTGCGTTATTAGCTTGTCATCGACAAGGTTCCCGTTCATTGATCGTCGCTCGTCGAATCGCTCGGGAGTAACGATTCAACAAATTCATCACATATCTCTTTCTCACATACACACGCATATACGGCAATCGGCGAGCACGACCCACACGCAATAATGCGGCTCCCGTGGCGAGAGTAGTGAAGTTTTTTTATCGCCTGTATAACAATTAACCCGTCTGTTTTCTTACTTCAGCCCAAGGCTACCAGGGTCAGCGTGGTCAGTCTGCGTAGCCGTGACTTCACCGGTCTAGGCTTTAACGTGTGTGGTAACATGAGGGAGGGCATCTTCGTCAAAGATCTATTACATCGCGGCCCCGCATCCGAATCTGGACGGATACACCCTGGTTAGTACAATTATAATCACTCACCACTTCTTTATTTTACAGTAATTTTGCAAATATCTATTGCTCATCGGCAACATTGAAGATTGATTCGTGAAAATTAACTTCATCGAATCCAAAAGTTGACTCTCATTGAATCCAAAAGTTTTAAAATTTTCTTCGATCTTTTTTGTTTGTAATATCTAATTTTTGTTCGAGAAAAGCATATATGTATCTCCACTCTTCTCATCTTTGATTATCTGCGATTCGATTTTCACACTTAATGTTGTACACGATGTAATGAGAATTTTCTCTTCGTTCGTCGTACCGAGATTGAGATGTAACACGATTTCTGTTGAGAAATAACGATTGCTTCGCTATGATTCTAAGCGAATTATAATTCAATACCTTAATTAACGATTAGACATGTCTCTTGACGGGAGCCGTCTGCGGATCTGAGAATCACCTACATACCTACATTTCGCAGTGAAGGCATTGTTATCGCCGCATTCGAACATTTGATAATGTGTGTCAAGACGATTAAAATGGAATATCAAATCCTTATTAAAGTGCATTTGCTGGCGTAAGTGGAGTACGTGAATCGCTATGATATGAATGGCTCAGTTTGGCAAAAGCAGCAGCTCAACAAATTTCAATTTCGAATTAAAAGCGTAATTTACAATGTTTTTTATCTAACAATTACCTGGATATCACCAAATTACAGAATTAATTTTCTATCCGTGTACAATGTTACGGCTAGAATTCTTGAGATTTCGATTTCTTCTTCTTATAATTTAATGCACTTTCAATTGTTACCTTCTTGTCCAGAAATACGTAATTCAAAGCGCGTACCTGATATCTCGAATTAACATTTTTACAATTTTCAACGATATAATTTACAAAAACTTTCTTTTGCAATTCGAAATATAGTGCGATATTATTTTTTCCATAATTTCATCACACTATGGAACGCATTTGTCACTCTTCTTTTCTTTTGTTACAGGCGATCGTATCTCCAGCGTGAAAATCAGCTTCCGCAACATGGTATACGAGGATGCGTTGACAATCTTGAGTTATGCCTCACCATACGACGTAGAGCTGGAAGTGGAAAGCGGTGGTAGCGGTTCAAAACCGACGACATTGCTGAAGAAAAGCGTGGGTCCGAGTCCGACGAGGATATGTCATCCTCTGTACAGGAGCCAATCAATCCCGGAACTGTCGCGGGCTCACAAAAGTGTTGCGAAACGACTCTTCATAGCCGACCCGAACGAATCCGTGGGTTCCAATTATTCGACGATGAATTCAACTGTAAAATCCTCGAAATCGACGTCGGGTAGTGGACAGAGTCTCGAAAGGCATCATGACGAGACGAAGAATAATCACCATCACAAGTTCGGTATCAAAGTGCTGCCGGCCCTGGACGGCACCGTGCACCGTATCGAGAATCAGAACGAGCATAATACGAACTTGGAAAGAAGACACTCGCGCAAACTAGACGCGGAGAAGCTATTGACGAACAGACAGTCCACAACATCGAGCGACACTGACGAAAAGAAACTTTATAACGAGCGCCTTCAACAACGTGCGGATCATAGCGTTGTCCCAGCGAAGATCATTGTTGATGATATTCGCAACGTTGACATGCCAGACAAAGACGGCAAACTCGCCGATAGAAGTCTCAATATACCATCGGAAGTGCCGACAGAAGTGCATAACGCGGCTATGGCGGCTCGCAGAAATCGAAAGAGCAATTCTGAGCCTTTGAACATGCAGGTTAGCGAGAAGGTATCCGATTCCGACGGAGCCAAAAGTCCGCAGAAGAACAAACGGAAGGCACCGGCGCCACCGAAAAACACCAATGAGATTGTGACGCTATCCGCGAAAAAGGATGCCATTGATATGATTGACAGTATCGCTGATTACACCGAGTCATTATGCGATTATGTGAATAAAGCGCGTGAAAACACGGACGCTGCCGCGGATGCTCGAAGGCACCGTCTGGAAAATCAGCCAATAGTAAACAGACGGAGCTCCGAATCGGATACCGATAATGAAATGCAGAATAATTTTACGATTGAGCTGGATTCGGCAGACATCACCATTCACCGCACGCCTGTGCCGGAAGCGGATGACGATGAAGATGAGGATGATATATACAGGAAAGCGGCTAGCCTGGGCGATCTGTCCAAATATGAGAGCAAGACCGCGGCGACCTTGGAGAGGGCGCAGAGCCTCGATATGACCGCCGATACCGGAGCAAAGAAACGCAAAGCACCGCTGCCACCTGAGGATATTAACGAAACTACAGAAGATCTCACAAAGCTCGATCAAATTGATACATTTGATAAACGGAAGCTGAAGAAATCGAACGAGTGGGGTACCTTGGAAGATGTAATTTGGAGTGAGGCTGCTAATGAAGTGTACGAGAAGACGCGTGGAAAAGCACGAACGAGAAAGAAGAGTAATGGTACTTTAGAGCGCTCCAAATCCGCTGTAGAGATCAAATTAAAAGAAGAAGTCATTCCAACGACGACAGTATTGGTGGCAGCAACGACGGACGACTTGTCCGAACAGAAGTCGGGCGATGACTCGGATCACGAAATCACCAGCATCGAACTGTACAATTTACCATTGAGCAAGCGACTAACCGAGGAGTTCATTCATACAGAACGGATGTTTAATCCGGACGAAGATAATTCCCTGGCTAGAATCGTGAATGATGGCCAAGTGGTAAAGAGTCCAACTCCAAAGGAAGTAGAGCTGGACTTCCAATTAGCCGATGAAAAACGAATTACTGAGAAGAGTCAGCGCGAAGGAGAGACCGAAAATAAATCGGAAGATAATTCCATATCGGAGAAATCGGAAGACTTCAGTCGCGCCTTGCGCTACTTTGAATTGCACGCGAGTGACTCACCAACATCACCAGAACCAACAAAGATCAATTTAACGCGACTAGATGAGTGGAGAGAAGAAAGAACATCCATTAATGATGATGCGACGTTTTATGCTGGCAGACAAGCGATTGTAGAAGAACCTGTCTTGAAAGTAACTATAGATAGAGGCTGTCACGGTTGCGAAGACAGATGCAGTCAACACAGCTCCAACTGCAAACGCGAGAAGCATACCGACAAACAGCATCGAGTGACCATGCGATCGTTCTCAGAGGACAACAGGTCGAGCACTAAAGAGAACGTGGAGAAAGAGGCAGATCAGACATCCGTGCCGACGCATTTGCGAGTACATGCGTCCAAATCGGAGCCGTTAGCTAGACACGATAAATCCCAGGATAAGAAAGAAAATGCGGAGGGTAAGAATGGCGATACCTTCTCCACATTCTACGCGCACCGGACGAAGTTTGAGCAGCGTAATATGGACAATCAACAACGCGATAAGTATTCGCCGATCAAGACGAAATCACCAATCGAATCCACATTCGCCGACACGCATTTCGCTAAACGCATTATTAATGTTTCCAATCTCGACGAGAACAATGAGGAGGAAGAAAACGAATACGAGTTTGGTTCGAGCATGATGGCGAACAGCAAGAATCCGTCGTCGCCTAAGGAAGATCGTTATAATATCAGTAGCATCAGCATATCGAGTGGCGAGAATAGCGAGGATAGTGGTCTAGTCCGAGAGTCGATGGATTACACTAATCCGCAAGACACGGGAAATCGCCCATCCTTGCCTAATACTCCCGTGCCAGCAAACGCTGCTCAGAAGATGACTTATATTACGGAGATTAAGGTGTCATCCAACAAGGATGGCGTCCGTGAAATCGAGAGCGAAAATGAGGAGGTGACAACGGAGACTAACGGCGAGTCGCAGGAACAAACACGACATAAGATTAAAGTTACATCGAATGGTAAACCTACGTCCGGTAAGAAACCGCCCGTACCGCCGAGACGATCAGATATCACGAAAAGTCCGAAAGAAGACCGAACGAATAAGCAGGTCGTCTACGTATCCGAGTATAAATCTGCGGGCAAAGGAGCCCAGATCTTGGATACAGGATCAGAAATTAAACAATCGGAAAATAAAAAGTTCGAGCACTGGATCTTCATGGCTGACAAAGAGCAGAATCGCTGGAGACCGACTTCTGGCCAACCACAGCCCGTAACGAATATTATGTTTTCGTCCAGAGATGATACAAATTAAAACGTTTGTGAACTTCAGGGATGATCTTCCTTTTAGGAATGCCAAGGGAAGTAATCAGTAATCGCGTACCACATAGCTTAAGAGAGACATTTAATTGAAAACATGTGGAAAGTGAAATTTCTTCATATATGGCGTTTCTTTAAAAAGACGAATAACATGATTGCATCAACATTAACAAATGTATTAACATTTTCCGAGTTCCCAAAAAACCAAGAATTTTAAAATAATGTTCTTCCTAAGATAACAGAATTAAGAAAATTTCGAATGGAAACAAGTGCAATAATAATTTGAAGCTTTTAAATGATATTTCTACACGTGACGTATATTTTTTATGATCTTTTTTTGACACTCACTCTTATTTTCCTTTTCACATTTCCAATTTTCAATTATTTTCAATTCGTTTAACCTCAATAAACGATTCGGATGAAAAGCGAAAGGAGTACGTAAACTGAAAGGAGAGAATGTGATTAACTTTATGTCACGTATGTGATGATGCATTTCTTGAAACGATACGTATCACACACACACACACACACACACACACACACACACACTATAAAATATGTACATATACTATACATCTGAGAAAAGTTTCTTTGACAGTTTTATTAATAAGAGGAGATCACGGTGAATTTTCGATTTTGACAAGTTTTGTCTTCTAAAATTTAAATAAAAAAATAACTCGACTCTATATCTAAACGTTTATATACAAAGTTCCTTAATGTTTAAGATTTTAATCTTTGAAATTTAATCTTTGATATTTATGTTTCATATAACATATAACATATATATAAGAAAAATCATTGACAAAAACAAATACAAAGACAAAAACAATAGTTAGCGCAAATACTTTATTAAATTTAAAAACTTATGCAAACTTATATAAACTTTAATGCAAAAACTTTATATATATTTATATATATTTTATATATATTTTCATTCTTAAAATAAATTTATTAAACATAAATTAAATCTTAACAAAATTTTTTTACACTTTCATATAAATAATTTTTAGCATTTTTACATCTCTAAACTAAACTTATCATAACTAATATTTTAATTTAATATTTTAATATTATTTTCAATTAAAATCCCACTTATATTTTCTCTAACCTCGCAAAAAAAATACATCAATTAATAAATTTTATATAAATTTTATAATAATTTATAAATCTTTTTATTGTAAATAAAATATTTTATTTAAACTAAATTAATAATTATTAATATACTTTCATATAATAAAATAAATTTTTTAATAAACTAAATTTTTAATATAAATAATATTATATTATAATTTATTTTCAATTAAATTTTTAATATAAAATAATTTTAACATTAAATTTTTCTGCAAATAATTAAAAGAAAATTTACCTCTTAAATTCTGTCTTATTCATAAAATATTAAAATATAAAATATAAAATATATATCTCTCTCTATCTATACTTAGTTTTTTGTATTAAGAGATGCAGGATTTGAAAAGGCATTTTTTTATTATTTTTATGAAGACAAAAAATAAAAAGTTAAAACTCATCAAAACAGTATGTAGCTTCACTGTAATTTCCCCTTGTAACAAATTTTATATTCCAGACGGAGAAATACATCTTCGCCTGAAATGTGAATATGTAAGATATTTAAAATTATTGTCAATTTCTTTAGAAAAAAAGAGAAGCTTTACATTCTTTTTCTAATTTTTATTGACGCGTTTAATTTTGTCTTTTAATTTTCTGTATGTAATTTATTTTAGTATTTTAAAACCAAAAGAATCTATATGATTTGAACAATATGATATCAATATGATATCGTTGCGCTGATAAAATTCCAATAACAGATTGTTCTATATCAGAGCTGTCCAGGATTTGTAGTTTTAAGTTTAAAATTGATGTGTGGTCGGTATTTACGCCTATTTGCTTTTCCTATTTTTTGTAACTATTCTTTCAAAGCGCGCGACGATCAATTTCAGGAATGAGACTTGTTTAAGATCATTAAAAATTCTTTAATATGTGTTAATGTTATTTAAAAATATATTAAAAAATGCTTTATTATTTTTAATTATAGTATATTATATAATAATTATTGAAGATATATGTGAATACATATGATATTTATAAAAAAGTAAAATTTTATACGTATATTCTAAATATGTATACACGTTAAGAATTCATAACAATCTCGTCTGAAATCGTCGCATGTTATGAAAATACCTTCAAAAGTATCAAAAGAATCAAAAAGATAATAAAGGTGTATCGACATGTATTACTCAAAATCCTGTTGTACATGTATTTATAATATCATATTTATACATTTTGATTACATTCATTTAGAAGTTTGTGTACTTCAACGTGAAATCTTTTTTTCATGTCTCTTTCCTTTTTTTTCAAATTGATTTTAATAGAGAAATAACGCATATCAATATATCAAGAAAAGATATGCATCATGCCGATAATAAACACCAGATATATCATGCGAAATAATCAGTATAGTGCTGAGAAACTGCGTGCCATAAAGAGTAATTATAATAGCAAAGATTACTTGAGATAAAATTAAAGTGTAAATGTGCATGTTACAGTGTTTTCGACTACAGTAGGTTTGAATTCAAGTGAATTCAAGTAATTAAACTGGATATATGTTATAAATACAGGTTCGATTGAAAGAGTATAAAGAAAAAGAAGGTATAAAATATTAAATTATTAATAAGTTTATTGTGAAATAATTTTATATAATTATGTTTTCAATTCTTTCTGAAATATTAAGCATCTAATCATTTAAATATAATTAAATATAATAAGTTTAATTATAACTCTAATAATTCAAAGCGTATCGCACGACATTGTACGACATTAATCACTCTCGAAGTGATCAAAACTCACTACAATCGAAAACGCTACAAGATTGCCGTGTGTTAAATCTCAATCAATCATTTATACAAATAAATAATAATTACAAATGCGATAATCGTATACTTCTTTCCGAATAATTGTATTGTATATAAGTGTAGGCCAGTGTTGTAGACGGCTAGCAAATTTATTGTTAGTGCATTTTATTAAAGATTACGTACATTTTTCTATTAACTCTTGATTTCTCGTTTTTAATCAAAATAATTTTAATAGAATATTATTAGGACCGATTAATGATATGAGAAAATACGTAATCTTAATCTTAATTAATCTAAAAACTGGCAATAACTTTATATGCATTTTATATTAATATAACTTTCTTTTTTTGTTTTTATTCTCTTATATTTTTGTTGTGATTATTTCATTTTTTCTGGATTGAATCCAATTTTTATATTAATATATCAAATAACAAAATGAAATAATCACATTTAGTAAATATGTAGTGAAAATGCGATGTCTCCTTTTTAACTTATATTGTTTCAATTGTTAAATATTTAAATTTTCTGAAGAGAAGAGAATACAAATTATTATCTTATTGTGCAGTCAAAATATTACAATTTACTTAAATATTTTATATATATCACCATATACATCCATTATGAAATGCAAATAATTTTGTCCATAAGACGACTCCGTAATCAAATAATAGACCGTGTAACAATATATCGTATAGCATATAAATAAAATAATTTGTAAATCCGAAACTTTACATATGATAACCTTGTTTAATGTACTAATATCTGTGTAATTTGTAGATTTTACATTTTAATTGTTTGCGTATTGCGTACATGAGTATTGTTCGTATGAGACGTGAAGTATAATTAATAAAATCTTGTGCATAATTGTACCATTCGTTTCAATACACTTCTGCTCAAACAAATATTGGGCGTATTGAAAATCTTAATGTTACATATAAAGAAAAACGCATTTTTTTCTGCTGTGTGTAATCAGAATGTTTCTTTTATGATATTATATGATTGGCTTTTCAATGAGTTTTTATTGTTATCATATTGTCTTCTTACATGATTATTCGTAGAAAAACCAATAGAAATACTAAAATATACTGAATTTAGTAATGATCAAAACGCATAGTCGACATCAAGATATAAATGTTCCACTGTGTGAAAAATTGTATTGCTACTTTATTATTAAAAAAAAGTATTATTGTTAATTGATGCAAGTCATCGAGTCTTTCTGTATACGTCAAATGTAATATAATTTATTTCAAGATTAATACGTTTATAACATATGCTATTGTCCATAATTTGTTAGTAACGAATGTATAAAGTTTTAATGAATAAAAAATGTATATTTTTAGACATAAATAATATCGACATAAAAATATATTTTTTTATGTAATAGACTTTTGTGAGAAGATAAAATTATTATTTTTGTCCATTATATTTAGTATGCTTTAAAATTCTATTATATTAAAATTATATATCAAAATGTGATTGAACTTAATAATTGATTTTAACGCTAAGTAATCTTACTGTAAAAAAAAATTGTATCCAATATCCTAACAAAGATAATACGGTTGCATAAACCAGGAATGGAAAAGTAGATTGATCGAACACAATTTAACAGCTGCAATTAATATTATTAATATCACAGTTATATAAAAGTTACATATAAAAGTTAGATATTATATTGTTATATATGATAGATATGTGTTAACAATTTTTATTATATTTTTTCTGTACAAGTGTCTGTACAAAAGAAATTATTATAGAAAGATATGTATATGTGTAAACATTTTATTACGAAATATATATCCATCGATTTCTCATACACGATATCCTTAATTTTTATTTTTTTTTATCTTTAATTATTACTATCATAAATTATATGTAGCAAACTAAATACATTTATGAAAAAGAATTTTCATTTATATTTAATCTTAAAATAATTTTTCATTCATTTTATTAGCTGTGCTTGAAAGTTTCTTGATGAAAAGTTTCTTGAATTTATATTTGTATTATTCTTGTATTAAATTGCATCACTATAAATACTATTTTTAAAAAAATATACAAAGTAATAATTATTGATACAACGGCCGTATGCGAATAGAACAGATTAAACTAAGTGGAAAAGACTTGTACCATTTTGCAAGTTTCGCAATTACTAATAATTACAAATAATAAGTTATATATTAATAAAAATTTATAAATAAGCATATGAAGAAACAGTGCTATATGTATTTATGATTGCTAGGAATGCAATGAGGTGTACATTATAAGTGAATATTCTATTATTTGTAGATCATATCAAACATTTCGTTTTATTTCTAGCAAATATGCATAATGAAAAACAATTATTATTTCGCCATGTACTTATCTTGACGGAATGAATTATTCGGCGATAATTAATCATTAATTTTTCATTAATCATTGCGAAAATTGTGAAATAATATAGAATTCTTCCATTCGGTCTGTTCTACCTGCATATACTGTAGCAATTATCAGATATCTTGTATGTAATAGCTTTACTGTATAACAAACACATTGTACATGAATGTTTTCTGCAATAATTTATCATTATTGCAGAAATTAAAATTTTATTCTATCTTAATATATTCATATTAGATTACTCATTCAGAAATCTGTTTATATATGAATACTTGTCAGACTTACATTATGATATACTCAGGAAATTATTTTCAAATATCCATAACATTTTTATTAATTTTTACAAGTTTTTAGAATTATTACGTAGCTGACTGCTTGTAATTCTTTGTACTCATCAGTTTTTTACCACACATAGCACATATAGCTTTCTTATATGCACAGGACTGACAGTAATGAGATCCAACTTGATGAACTTTCTGTCTGCATATTCTACAGATTTCAAATTTTGTAGTATATGGATTAAATCGTGCCTTTCCTGCAGAAAGAGCTTTATTTTCTCCAACTTTACGTCCTCCGCTCTCTGTTGTGTTCCTTGCGCCAGTCTTCCAAGGATCAGGAGTAATAACTTTACCTAATTTCTTTTCACACTTCTCGCAAACCATGTTGAAAGCTTTTATTTTGAATTTAAATATCTCAAATCTGAAAATAATTAGAAATTAAAATATAAAAATATCTAAAAATAATTTTTTTTAATTAGAAAAACAATTTTATTACATTATTGTGTCCTGAGTTTCTATGTAATTCTTTTTAAAATCATATCATCATATTTTATTTGTTTGATATTAATATCTGCAATATTGTAAAGTTTTTCATTAGAATAAAAATAATAAAAATAAAAATCTGCTTAAAAAATGTTATATAAAATCTTGTAAATATAAAAATAAATTATTTAAATCAAAATTTTTAAATCAAAATGATATTATATTAATGATTATATCGTTATTGCAACATACCTTGAATTTTTTAGGTTATAATGTTTCTACAAACTGAATTTTATTTTCTCAGTTTTGAAACTCCAAGCAACTACGAAAATTATATGTAAAAATTTGAGAGCCAAGATTAAAGAAAACGACTGTTTAAACATCTCCGAGTATATCGGAGTAAATATGATGTGTTATCAGATTCAGAAAAAATCAAACGAGAGTGATAGCGAATTCCATTCACTACACTACACCGGAATAGTGCATACTAAATGCTGATATACATGAAATTATTGAAATGTAAAAATACATAAACAAAATGATTAATTCAAAATGATTATATAAATAGTCAACAATGAATTTGTCATTATTTAGCTGAATATGAATTAATAATTTCATTATTAAGGAAGGTGATATTATGCTACTACATTTAGATATTTCATATGCAGCAGTCTTTAATGTGTGCTAATCTGGATGGATTACGTTCGGAAACATCACCCGAGTGATTCCATATATCATTTTATTCTTGTTATTCATCGAATGTTAAACAAGGATAAGACAATATACGGAGTCACTCGGATGGTGTTTTCGAATGTACCCTGGGCATCGATCACGTATTTTTATAGTGACATAGTTCACTTTTAGATTTTTATGGCCGATGGTCATCTTACAGGGTGCTTTCCAAAAAGGAGAGTTTAGTGTTACACAGTGTGATACAGAGAGACACTGTAAGACACAGTTATAGAGTTTAATTGAAACACATAAGTTACTAAACACGCTCACTAGAGAGCATAAAAGATTGTGACGTAGAGAAGATCATCACGCATAAACATGAGTGCATTTTTTTCATTATTATCCATTACTGCCAGTGCATTTTTTGAAGAATTAATGATACATACTGAAATAAATTTAAGTAAATTATATGTATTGATTATTTCATTCCTGGCTACAAAGCTTTATTTTATATTTGTGAAATAACTATGATCTTTTTGATTTGACATTACATGGAATCTTATTCATTTCAGGTGCGTATAATTCCTTTTCTCTTTCAAGAAAAACTTCTTTTTCTTTGAAACAAGCATGATGCTTAACATCATCTAAGTGTCGATCCACAATAGGTGATTTAAGCTTTAAGAAATAAGAAATTATAATCGAATATGAAAAGAATACTCGACTATGATTAGTCAATTTCTTACGGCTTAAAGATTAAATACTTATTGTGGACCGACACTAATTTAGAAATAATTCCTTTACAATGCCGACAAAAGAACATATCTATAATAAAAATTAATCCAATAGAATTTGTACTAATAATGGATCATCAACAAATACGTTTTCAAGCTTATATAGTTCTTTAAATAAAAAAAACTGAATATTGATTACCTAAGAATTCCAGGTTCGGTACTACGTTATTCGAAAGCAACGAAGACATTTTTTTGCAGATAAAGAATGTGTTCCGTTTCTCGCATGATACGCGTGATGTATCATTTATCCTTATCACAATACATTAAACAAAGATAAATGATGCATTATGCGCATCATGCAAGAAATGGAACGCATCCAAAATGACAATAATGACCGGAATGAATATTAGCCACATTTAAAAAAATAATTTTGCTCGATATGTTGGCACTATTGACGTCTATGGACGACATGGTCAAACTTAGGATCGAGCTGTGTTTCGCAGTGTCATTCTGTGTCTCTCTGTGTCATAGATGGAAAGCACCAGTGTAGACATACAGTGTCGCCTGTGTACGTTGTTGGAAAGCACCTCCGGTTTCATCGTTCATTTTCACTGCGAAAGAAATTATTAGTGACATAACTAGAAGTAGTAAAGATCTATTCATATCAAAATATTCCAAAAACTACACTGAAGGCAACTTCACGACTGTAAATATAACTTTAATATTTAGCAAAATAAAGAGATACGAACTTAGATATTCCTATCCGTGCAAAAAAGATAAATACATCAACGGCAATAAGGAAGACAATTACTGATAATTGTAAGTTGCAACAATTTATTAATTTATTAACTTAGAATATATAAACTTTCATTTAAAAAATTTCTCTCTTTCAGTGTATGTATTTCAAACAAACAGAAGCATAAGAGCTAAGCCAGCTTTAAGAGCTAAGGTCGCTTGAAGACGTCCAAAGTGATGAACTGCAATTCATCGAAGAGTACGAGTCGTTAAATGAGTTTGCATCTAACGAAAGAATCTACACATCGAATTTTGTAGGAAAAAAACGTTCTTTAATCATAGAAACTGCAAATCATAATTCAAATAATGAAGCTGATAAAGAAATTATAAGTGGCGGAAATGATAATTGTACGTTTTAAATGTGAAATTAGATAAGTTTTCTGAAAATATTATAATTGACTAAATGACGTTTATTTATGGGAAGTTTAATAAATAATAAAAAATGTAATTACAATATTTTGTTTCCTTTCTTATTCACTCTATTTTTTTAGATATATTTACATCTTCTCAGTTTATATCTTGACAATAATGTATTAAATATACTAGCAATTTATCTTCGTAAAAAATTTGAATATTTATCTACAACGAAATATATATATAGTCTTTAAAAATTAAAATTAAATCTTCTATTGTCAGGTTTAAAACCCAAAAAACTGTAGCCATTTTATCAATTAATAATTATCATTAATATGCTATGTGTAGGTTAAGAAACATTAGATTTTCACCGTTTAACTATGGCTGGATTCCGTAAAGCGCATATATGCACATTTATCTATAGTTTATGTCACGTATACTAACAAAATGCATATGCGTTTACGGAATCCAGTCTATATCAGCTGATGATGAAAAGTTTCACGCTAAATATCTCACGCTTCCATTGGAATTAAAATGGAATTCGCTATGAAGCGGACTCACCGGACGTCGACTATTGTTAGTAATTATTTGAAAACGAGCGGAATATTTAACTTTTTTAGATTGCAAATCTCACTTACATTTATATATCATCTTGATGTATACATCCTTTTAAATTATTTATTTATTTTTGTTTATTCAAAATCTATTTCAATATTTAAAAGATATTGTAGAAAATAATATTTTATTTGCATTTATCAAATCATTAAAAAATAAAGACTTATGTAAAAACGTAAAATATGCGAATAATAACATTAGTATATATAATCAAAATTTATTTATAATTGCGAAATGTACTATAGAATTTATTTGTTTATCCTGTACATTAATGGAATTATTAAATAATATTTTTTAATACCTAATAGCATAATGTACTAATGCAATATTGAGAAGTAATGTAAATCCAATATTATGTATTGGGTATGAATTGATCATCAACATTGATCTAACATTGCAAGATGGACGCCTGCTCTTATTTAATCAATATGTCAAAGCAATAATATTGGTGCGATAACATTGGACCAATATCCCCGATAACAAAATCTGCAAAAATAGATTTTGAGCAAAGCCTGCTACCAATATTTGATGATAAAAAAGCAACAAATTACATACAGAGTCTGTAATATCTGATGTTGTGAGCAAACTGCTTCCTCCAAAATAGGACAGAGCTTGCTAATATGTTATGAGAGCATCCGTTTGACCACGTTGTGATTGACCACAGCCACTTACAGCGGCCTGTGTTTAGAGGTTTTCCTCTTCAAACGCTATGTGGTTGGTCATCAATTGTAACGTGGCCAAACGAACCTCACCCCAAATTGCAGGGTGAGGTCTAATCGAACACCGATTGCCGATTGGTCGATTAAATAAAAAAATTTTTGATAGATAGCTCATTAGAAAATTCCTAAGCATCGGCTGATGTGAGTGGTGTGTCCGATTGAAAATGTGTGCATCTGAAACGCTCCCAAATTGCACACAGAGTCTATAATATCTGACGATGGGAGCAAACTATCCTCAAAAATATGACAAAACTTACTGACATGCTATGCCAGCAAATTGCTAGCAAAAATCGAGCAAAACCTGTCGACATGCTATGCTAGCAGGTTGGTAGCAAAAACCAAACAGAGCCTGTTATTACGCATATTTAAACATAGGGTTTGTTTTTTATTCTCGCACTAAAGCTGCATTAGAACTGAACTGAACTGAACTAGTGCAAGTCAAAACTAACGAGTGTAAGCTTGCAATTAGGGAATAGAATAGAATGATTTAGTGCAAGAAAGAAATGGCGTCCGATATTATCTGTATAAAAATATTAGATTTGTTTTCTAATGAAGACAAATTATTTATTACAAATTACTTATTCAATAAATTATAGACTTTTATTGCTCATATTGAAATGTAAATATTAAAGTCTTTTTAAGAAAGGAAGTCTTCTCAAGAGAAGTTCTATTTTTCACACAGTTTTCACTGTTTAAATATTACTTAGTTATGATTATAAAATACTAAATTTAGATGGGCAATCTTAATACCTTCGGAGATATATGTATCTATTTTCATTTACGATAATGTTTCCTGCGCTGCTTTTTTTTATAATTACTGTTTCTTCACTGTTTGCCATTTCAACTTTTTCTTTCTCTGGGTCAATCATATAACTTTACGTGAAATTTTTCACTTTTTATTTTTCACATTTTACTTTTCATTTTTCACACCTTGACATTTTACGTAAAACTTTTCATGTACAGCGATTATGTATGTAGCTTGGATGCGTGAAAAGTGAAATCATGAAACATAATTTCATAGGTTTTATAACTAATGAAAATTATTTTATTGGTACAGTATTACATCTTTTAATAATCAATTGTATATGTACGTACACTTAATCCTAACGCAGCCCTAATCTTCTCTAATTCCGAAACATATTTATTAATTCCTTAGATTTCTACCTTTCCGCCGCCAAGATCATGGTGAAAAAGTTCACGTGAAAAATTTCACGTTTGAGAGAGTTACATGATCCCGCAAAATCGTACATGTAAGTTCACGTGAAACTTTTCACTTTTCACGTTTCCGCCCTAGGGGAAAAGTTACATGATTGACCCTCAGGAAGTTCAGGAATAAAAAACAAACCTAATAATTGGAAAACTATCGCTAGATGGCGTTTCTCACATTCAAAATTTATCAAATTTTCTATTTAAGCGAAGTCATAATTAAAATTTAAACATGCATTTATTATTTACGTATTTTTATGTATATGTTTGATGCAAGACCATAGACCTTATGTATGGACTGCTAATACAGATATGATTATGTCCGCGGGAGGTTGAAGAGAAAAACGTCTTTCTTTTTCTAAGTGTCCGGAAATATGTTTTTTGTTTGATATATACTGTACATTAATGCATTCTTATTGGTGTATATTTATGCAAGTTAAAAGAAAATTTGAGGTTATTTGTACGTGCAGAGTATCGTTTATAGAAAATCATTTATTATTAATCTCAAAACATTTATTGTTCAAAATAATTATCACTATCATATTTTTCTAAAAACTCCCATTTTTAAAAAGAAAATTATTCTTCTATAATTTCATTATTTAAAAAATGAGTGTATTGTGTATCATATATATAAAATAAAACAACATTAGAAACTATATATAAAACTAAAATTTAAGTATGCAGCAAATATGCCATGCATGATTCATTAAATATTGTAATTCTTATTTTACTATTTTTTTATTATTTTACAAAATTACTATAAAAAATAAAAACTTCGATATAGAATTACATATCGTTATCGTAATTGTATATCGTTTATTTTAAAACTCTTTCCACAAATTAATCTAAAAGTTTTATCTGATGTTTTTTCACTTTTGTCGCGAGCGCCGAGAACGCAATCACGCCCACCGCTGACAAAGCGGATTGCGGCAAGCGATACTTTACCCGACGAATTATTATTTTATCAAGTGATAACGATTACCAACGCTACCGTGCTAATCGCGCAATTATTGCGTAATCGCACCACGTGAAGCAACTGCTAACCGGGTTGCGCGGCCCTTACGTGGAAAACCGCCGCGCGACCCAGAAATATATCGCGAACGCTGACGAACATTTTGATGACACGGCAAGGACCGGCCGCCTGGAACAGGATAAAAACGAGAGACCGATACTAGGAGAGGACTCGTCGAGATCCGCCGTGCCGTCACATCTGTCGCGGTCCGAATTAAAAAGGATAACCTGTATCAAGTTTTTAATAAAGTTTATTTAGTATCGAACAAAGTGGTGAGCCGACTCCTTGATCGATCCCCGAAACGACCCGCACAACACTTTTCTTATATATATATTTTTTTATTTTATTGCATTTTATATGTTTGACTATGAAGTCTTTTATTTTTTACTCTTCATCAACATTTATTGTTTTCGATCATATTATTATATTAATCCGCCATATGCTTCAAACTCATGCACAATATATATTTCCGGACATCTTAAAAAAAAGAAGTGTCAAAAAGTATGTCTCTGTCTAACCTCCCGCGGACACTGTTTCTTATGCAGAAACTATAGCAATTGCCAGTCTATATCTATAAGGCATATCTATAAGGTCTATGTGCAAGACATAATCTCTAACAAGGAAGTTAAAGTTCTGCTCGGTTTTTGCCGCCTGCTGGCATAGTATATCAGCAGGCTTTGTCAACAAATCCTGAGCTTAATGCGAACACAGGCTATGGATTTGCAGTCAATATCCGATCAAATTTGTTGCCAATTTGCTAGCAAATTGCTAGCATTTTGCTTGCTGGGATAATACATATCTTCTATTTATATAAGCGAAAAAAATAAAAAAAATGAAAAAAAAAGATGAAAGTGAAACATCTTTTATCTTGTATTACCGCATGTTTCTACACACATTCATCCTACTTAGGATCCTCAATGCTGCTTAACTTCTATATTGAAATGAAATCTGCTAAAATAATGATATAAGTAAATATAGAATTTTGGCAAAATATGATAGATCTGGTTAATGAATGTTACTATATTGTCATATAAATAGTCTCAATTTAAAAAAAATATATATATATAAATGTACATACATATATGGTAAATACATATTTATTGTTAATGTTTTATATATGTAAAATATAAATATTATAAAGATTTTTTTATTTTTAAGTAAAAGTATTGCATCTTATGTTAAAAAAAAGAAAATCTTAAGTTGATATGTAATAATTATTTACACGTTTATCCTGTAGGCACTTCCAATGTAAACGCAATACGTATATTGATAGCACATTACTATTTCTTCTGTAATTAATATTTGTATAAGACTGGGCGATCTTGGCCAATGCACTTCCAATGTAAACGCAATACTGTATAATTATTGGGCATTGTAATACATTAGTAATACATTTGCATTGATTTCATAATCAATATTGACTTTCCATTGGAAATAACGGCCAATGTACTCCCAACATAACCAATGTATCGCCAACATTGAGCCAATGCATCGTGTTATTAGGGATAATATGCTTTGATGTGATTTTAGAAATGTTTCTGAAATATT